CGCAACAACTTTAACAATAGCACACAATCGTCGCGATTATTATCTAGAGTTAGTGTAAAAGAAAGAGAGAAAACAGTGACACGTAGATTTTATATATATATTTTTTTTTGTTTTGCATTCGTTACGGCATCCTGTTACAAACACTCTTCACGCTGCGGTATTTCAGTACAGAAGTAATAAAAAAGTTATAGTGTATACATATATATCTCTCTATCTATATATATATAATATTTATATATAAAATAGGTAAAGTAAAACGTAATATACATGTTATTGTTCGTCTCTCATGGGATTCTTCGCTCGCGTTCGCAATTCATCGTACATTCCTCATACGTGATGTCCCAGAAAAATTGATTTGGACTCACGATTGTACGCCGTTCGATCAGATTCCAGACATCACTGAACGGTGACAATATTAGCAATTTGCAATTTGCAATAAGGAAATCTTTTCTATACTTCTTAAAAGTTCTTATGAATATTTCTTAAGCATCTCTTATCCTTTCTTCCTTCCGATCAATACAGTTAAACCATAAAGATTTTACTTACTGTTACAATGCTATATATTTTAACACAAGCTTATGGCTCAAATAAAACAAACATTTCGTATAATTCGTGGCGTGTTAATTAAAGCAAGGAAGAATCGAAACACATCTAAAGCTTACATGTAATGTCCTGGTGCGATGTATCCATTAAAAACAAGCGAGTAGCATGAATAAAATAAAGGATCTTTTCATTACTTTACAGTTCACGTATCGCGAAGTATGATTTAAGTACATAGAAATATTTTTCTCGAGAGGTTCTCACTTTAATAAATTAAGAGAGAGAAAGAGAGAGAGAAAGAGAGAGAGAGAGAGAGAGAGAGAGAGAGAGAAATATTAGAAGAGAAAAATTAAAATCATCTTTTAACACATGTATTTAGCTCTCTCTAATTTTGTATTTGTATATCTAGATTATTACATCTAGATTTTTGTGTATTTAGATTATTTATTTGACTTTTCATAGAGAATCGTAAAATACCTTCGGTCTCTACGGGTGGGCTAAATCGGTTTTCCTGGGTTGCAATGTCATAAAAACCGGAAGCAGCGGTCGGTCGTAGTTCAGAAGGCACTACAACCGAACCAGAAGAATATCCAGTTTCAGATGAGGGTACGTCCTTATCCTTCACCAGTGCGTCCGCTGCCACAAAGGGTATTATCCTAGAAAAAATTATTTTTTTTGATCAATACACATAGCTATAAGACGATTTGCGATTATAAAATCATTCCAATCCAGACTTCAAAATTATATACATATGTATATAGTTTATTCTATATGTATAATAAGAGAATTTTTTAAAAATAAAATAAAACTAATCTCTTCACAAGATTATTTTAGCATCTAGCATTTGAAAATATTCATAATTTTTAAAAATGATAATTGCACACGTAAAAACGTATTTTAAATAAATGTTATAAAAAAAAGTATAATGCAAAAAAAAAAACGAACTAGCACTGTGTATTTTTTGCCGTTAAAAATTTGACCGGTGTAAATCGGTATCAATCAGTTGTTTTCGACAAACGATTTCAATTTAATTCACGGGCAGTATTCCCGGGCCGACAAAACTCGCAAAAAAGCGGTTCCGTTATAAGCGTGAAAAATTGATTGCACATCGTGCCGGCTAATAAAAAGAAATAAAACGCGCTATATCGATTACTACATCGACTGCGCAACGTTGCACCTGCCTGATATTTTTTATGTATTTTAAAAATATCGCAATTATGAAATTCGTTCAACAAAAAAAAAAAAAAAAAAAACAACACACATTCATATCCTCTCGCTATTCCTCACGACACGCGATAGTTCCAATGTCAAATCACGGGACAGGATAGGAAATGATGACGGATCGAGATATGATAATAGTCACCTAACATTCGGCAGCGACGGCGGTAGAAGTAGTCGTTCGCCGTAGTCGTAGTCATAATCCTCGCTTTTTTCTCGATGAGTGATGTTCAGGATGGCCTCGATGTCAGGCGGAATGGACTTAATTGGATTTATCGTGACACCGTGTATATGGCCCACCGAGACATTCGTCTTGACTGTCACGTTCATCACGAGGATGTCGTCCGGCATGAGTATCGTCGACGATGGACTGGTGACGGGTCTCTTACCGATGGTCTCCATTCTCTACGTTATACGTGTTTAATCGTAATAAATCGTAATAAACCTACTCGCTCCTTTTTATGATACGCAATAACGTTTTGAATGAACGTCTTATCTTATATTTAAGAAACGTACATGAATATGCGAAAAGCGAAGCAAGTAAGCGAGTTTATGACGCGAATTCATAAATCTTGATTTCATGATTTTCCAGATTTTTTTTTTTTTTTAAGTGTAAAACTCGAATGAAAAGATTCAGATTTAAAATTTTTAAAAAAGAAGTACGACAATAAAATTAAAAAAAAAATGTTTAATTTAAACTTATCAAAGTAAATTAAATTTGTCGAAATCTGCATCATATACAACTTCTTCTTTAATTAAAGAAAAAAAATTTGTCTTATCTCTGTTATCGTCGGTGATTCTAAATATTTTTTTACTCTTAAAAATACTTTATAAAAAATAACTTAAGATAGATCTCATCGTGATAATAAAATTTTTCGGACTAACTATAATTGAAAATATAAATTATGTAGAAACGAGCGTAAAACCGTACTGTATTTACCAAGTAATTCAAACTCAGTCTCAAATTGTTTCTCGCTTGATTTTAAGGAAGCTCTTCGGTATCCATTGTATGTTTTACGATAATTTTTTTGATTATTATTTCTTAGTCGTTACCTTAATAATGAGTGTAGAGCTCTCGGACAAGACTTTCTCGTCGGGAGTAAGCGTTTCCCCGGCACTCGTGGAAACTGCGAAAGGATGCATTGTAGCTTTGTTTTTCTCAATTCCATCCGTTTTCCCCCCCGTCGTCGTCCCCCCTCCCTCAAGGGCCACGTCTTCGTTTTGCTCCTCGTTCTCGCTCGCGTTTTCTTTCCTTCTCGCCGTCGGCATCCTCGTTTTCATCGTTTCCATTATCGAGCGTTAATTCGGGAAGCGCCGTTGTCCATTCCGGCAACGAGATCGTCGAGCCGTCCGTGCTAGATGGATCCTCTGTCGTCATGACTATGGCGTCCGTGTACGCATTTGTTGAACACGTTATGCAGGAATCGGTAATGGAATCGGCATCTTCGGTGGACGCCGGGGTCGATTCGAACGATGCTGTCGATTCAGCGTTGCTCAATAATAACTGGCGAACGAAGACAAATAATTCATTAATGCCGGAAATGATATATGATCGAGTTCCGCTCCGAAATTGGGCGAAGACAATAAAAAAAGCATCGAGAACATCGCAAAAACTCCGACAAATTGTAAATGAAGGTTTTCGTTTCAGAATTAACAGAGGCAGTAATATTATCTAATTTGTTTCGTTTCTTATATTATTTAAAATTATTTTAAAAACACATGTCAAGTCAATCAATATTAGCAGCGCATATAAATACCAATTTACTAAATTAGGGGGGTTACGCATGGATTAAAAAGCGATTTATAAGAGATAAATGTTTCACGTGTCGTGTATTAAATTAAGCGTTTCCGTCTTTATTTTTTTTTTTTTTTATTTGAAGAGCCTTGATCTTCATTTAGATAGATCTCTGCGCAAATTATCATATCGTATCGTCACCTCATTCGCCAGAGTCGCGGCGGTCGTCACTTCCAAGGTCGATTTATAGTCTACCGTTCCTATCAAGATTTCATTGTCCATGACGTCGGTCTCCATAGTCGAGGGCCAGGCCGTCGAGTAGGTGGCGACAGATGAGTCCTCCTCGAAATCGATCGTGCTGGTGCTAATCCGTTCCTCGACCACTCTGTGACCTCGTCCTTCGACGGACGGATTCGTAGATTGATCAATCGCGGGCTGAACAATTAATGACAGGTACTCGTACGTCATAAATCGATTAGGACTTCACCTCGCAGAAGGACTTCCCTTCCCCCCCCTTTTTTTTCTCCCTATAAAATTCTATGCGCGCCTCCAAACCTACTTGTAATTCGATCGGTCGAATCAATTTAATGATCTCGCCTAGCTCGTGTTTAATGTCGGGCAATTCGAGCTCAACAGCACGTGAATACTTAATCTCTCTCTCTCGATATCGGAGCGTCATCTGGACATCCATAATGCAAAACAGACGTTAAAAATCATTTAGCGGAAAAGATCTTGAAAAGCCGGGCGTTGAGGCAAGAATTTATATCACGATCGTGCGATAAATAATCTAGTATATAATTCTAATAAATGTGAAAGAGTAAATTGATCGAAGGAGATGAGGAGGCTTGTTTTCAATCTCCTTTAGAAATGGAAGAGATAAAAGATTTTTCACTCAATATAAATAAAGGCGCGTTAAAAAAACATTTTATACGCATAGGAAATAACAAGTTTGTAAATAATTGTGTCGGGAGAATGATAAAAGTAAACTTCTCTAAATTCTGAAACGGAGGAATCGAGTTCTGCTGTCTCACGAGTATCGATAGGCGATTGACGTGCTCGTTCCAAGAATCCAAGTTTGTGAACGAACCGGAAATCGGAATTCGCCGCAGTTGATTCCGTTGTCTGAGTAGATTCCCGTGTATCTCGCGAGATTCGAATTCTCCATAAGTGGTGGTATTCTGCCCTAACGACGCTGCCCATTAATAATAACGTAACACATCCATAATAGATACGTCGTCGCCCGATTGGAAACTCGTATCGCGCAACGTGATCCAATAAGGTATGCCTCATTCCAAATTCCTGAACTAAGTCGAATGTCTAACGCGTTTATAATCAATGTTTCGGGTAAATTTCATTGATTAAATTCCGCCGACTACATAAATCACCTCCCCTTAACTTCGATCCCATCGAGCGTGTTCCTACTATTTGCTAACTTTGGGATTCAGGATAAGCTTATTTAGATTCAGTTAGAACTATTTATGCAGAATGCGATGCAAAAAGACGACGCGATAACTTATGCGTATTTCCTACAACGGAAGAGTAAAAAGAAGAAGAAGGGAAGAACGTACGAAAAAGTTGGTCTCCTTGCGGAACTTAGCGTAGTCCTTGCTGATGAAGGCGTAGGATGCGTAGTTTTGAGTGGCCTTTACCTCGATGCTGCCGCCTTGAACATTTAATCCCTTTTTTTTATAATATTCAAGAAAGTTATATTTGTGTGTGTGTGTGTGTGTGTGTGTGTGTGTGTGTGTGTGTGTGTGTGTGTGTGAGTGTGGT